CGGTTTTTTTCTTTTTGCTTATGTGGTGCTGAGGAATCGAACCCAGGGCCTCATGCATGCAAGGCAAGCACTCTACCACTGAGCCACCTTCCCAGCCCAGGCTCTCAGTTTTCAAACAGAACTACTTCTCCTTTTCACTCACACCAGGCACATGTCACCTCCTCGCAGAAACCCTGAGTCCCAGAGCTGCACGTACTCACCTCGAGGGTCATCACCACGAACCTCACTGTGTCCCTCTCCTTCTCAGCAGGAAGGTGCAAATGGGTGGGCACTTTGGAGATCACTACTAGGTACTGCGCCAGGGCCCGAGCCAGCGTGGTCATGGTCTGGTATAATGTGGCGTCCCCTGAAACATGAGCCCTGTGAGCATCTGTGATGGGAACACAGGCCCCTTCCTCTGCATTCTGTGCAGACACACACAGCTCCGGATACCTGGCCTCAGAACACGTCTGCACGCGCTCAGGTGCCTGCATGCAGCAGGGACTTGCTCCTCCTGAGTATTCCTAAAGGATGTGAGACCCTGACTATGTCCAGGTTGGCCAAGTGGCAAACACACAAAAAGAAATTTAGAGCTCAGACCTGGTGCCAACCAGGTTTTCAATCAACAGCATTGACTGACAGGTATTCTTATCTAGGCCACACACCATGCTAGCCCTCAGAACTGTAAATAAGAGAAGCTTTTACTTAAATTACCAAATAGATTATTCAGTTTGCTCCAGTAGCCTGTGGGCTCCGTGGGCAGGAAAGGCTGGAAGACCTGATGGACAGCAGGAAGCTGCTGGACGATGCCAGTCACACGGTCCAGAGTCACCCCACGAGCAGTTTCAAAAAGGACACTCTTCTGGCCACATGCGATCTCGCTCATGCCGAGGCTCAGGCATGGAGCCAAGAGGCTTAGGTTGAACTCCTAAGATCAGAGCATTAAAAGTGAGACAAACAGGAAGAATATAAGCTTTCTATCAGATAAGGCAAACACAGTCAGGACTAATGCAAGTGTTTCTAAGATAATAACAATGAACTGTAAGGAATGCTTTCAAGAACACTCTAGAGACCCAAACACTAACTTGCATGCAGTGATCTAAGCCAGCTTGGGACTCTGGCAGTAAGGCCATCATGTGATGAGGCCCCAGGCCTTGCATCTCTAGAACCATAAATCAAAACCAGCTAGACCTCTATAGCATAGCAACCAAAGTGGACCAATACATTCAGCAAGAGGCTTTTGTTTGAGCATAAACAGACAAAATAAGGAAATAGGTAAGATCTATTTGAACTCCTTATTAACAAAATATACTGTTTGATGTCTGCTAAAAATGTACAAACAATTTAGTCTAACATTCTCTCAGAAGAATATGTCAATGGTCTCTTTATGGCACTTTTATTTTTATCTATCTTTTTTAACCTTTTTTTTTTTTTTTGGTCGGACATGGGGCTTGAACTCTAGGCCTGGGTGCTGGCCCTGAGCTCTTCAGCTTAAGGCTAGCACTCTACCTCTTGAGCCACGGTACCAGTTCCAATTTTCTGGTGGTTAATTGGAGATGAGAATCTCACAGATTTTTCTGCCCAGGGTTGGCTTTGAACCATGATCCTCAGTGGCATGAGCCACTGACGCCTAGCAACTTTTTCCTTTTTACAAATAAAATGTTGAGGCTAATGTGACCCATATGAAATGAATGAGACACCTGCATTCCTGGAATTAGAGGCAAATGTGCAGAAGCAGCTAGGACTGGTGACTCTAACACACAAGTGCCAACACCTGGCTGGGAAAGGGCATGTCATAGGACAATCTACTTGTTCTGTCAACTTTTTTTTAAAGACATTTAAGGATTTGGGAAGCCAGTTTTTCAGATAACACATCAATTTTAGCTTAACGTTTAGAAAACTGTATTTCATCACTAATATTGCAAAGCAAATGTTCCTTTGGTTACAGCTAAAATCTATAAAGCTATTAAAAGTTCACTTGCAGGGCTGGGAAGGTGGCTCAGTGGTAGAGCACTTGCCTTGCATGCTCGAGGCCCTGGGTTCGATTCCTCAGCACCACATAAGCAAAAAGAAAAAAGCCGGAAGTGGCGCTGTGGCTCAAGTG